GGGGTCTTTTCCCTTGGAAAATTCAGACTGTTCAGCACAGGAAGGCTGAGTGCTGATGGATCTGAAGTGCCCAAAAGTGAATATGCTGCTGTAGGAGATTGTTCCAGCTCTCCCAGCATCCTTCCTGGGCTCAGGCTATTTATACTCTGTCTGCCTAAACTTCCTCTCTTACTCTTAATTGCATCTTAGGTTGGAAGGGAGAAATGAAGAAAACTATTTCCATGTTGGAGGTGTTTAATCTCAGAGGAGGGTTATTTTAGTGCTTCCTTCATGTACCATTCTGGAGAGAGTTAAATTGCATAGGTACTGCAGGAACATCCCAAGTGACCTTGGCTTCCTCTATGGTATGGCACCAAGCAGCAGCCTACAGGCATTGTCTGCTTCTAAGGAGAGTAAATTCAGTTTCTCTGACAGTAGAAGATCTGCCAAGCTGAACTGTAGATGAAAATGAGCAAAGTAACTAAAGGCAGGGGGATTTTTCACATCAATAATGCTGTTAGGGCTGCTCAGGTAAGTACTGACTGTAAGAACATATTCTGTGTTTGTAGCTCTTTGGGTATGAAGAAGTGGATGCAGCTGAAGCTGTCGGAGTCTGCCTGGCAGCTCAGTAAGTTTCCAAGGGGAAAAATTAAATACTCTAATTTATTTTGGTTAGATGTTAACTCTGAAACTTGTGGCAATGCCTCTTAGTTTTTTCATTTAGGAGAATCCTCTAGTGACACTAAACCTGTTCTGTACAAATTGCTGAGAGTGAAGGAAAGCTGGGGTGGGTTTTCATGTTCTCTTTCATTTGTCTGAGTAGTTAAAAAACTGCTTGTCTGAGGTGGTGTATGGCTGCTGAATATCCCTGCCTTATTCCAGTGCAAAGTAAGCATGGCCAGCGAGTTTGTCTGAGCAAAGCTGTTAAATAACTGCTTCTGTTATGTGCTGGAGGAGACAGTATTCAGGCTAATGGGAGAGTAACACCTGCAACTGCTGAAGTACAATTGCTAAAGTATATTTGGCCATATCCTGAGATAAGTTTGAAAGCTGAGCTCTGTCTTTAATCAGTAAACAAACTCTAATTGCAGTCTCTGTAATGAAGTAAATACAGTAAGCTAAGTGCTTAGTGAGAAAGCTCATTAAATCTCTTGAAAATGGTAATTTTCATCATCTCAACTAATGAAAAATTCAGTGTGTTCTGTAGGCTAATCAAAAATAAAACTCTAAAGAATTTTTGTTAACGAAGTTGTTTTCCCTTCATACAGCCATTACCTAACCATCCCCCTGGAACAAAGTTAATTCATTTTCCCAGTATAACAAAAACTGAAAACACACCTGAAGTAATAAAACCAGAAGCTGAAAGTAAACCAAAAGGTAAGGCTGATAGATATTCACATCTGTTACAAGGTAGTCCTTTCTTATGAACTCTTTGGTTATCAATTTTTTTTTAATGTTAAAATCTAAAACATCTGTGTGTACTGGAGTTTTGTGTAATGATCTGTACCTTTGAGGGGTTATGCAAGTGCATAAAAAGTCTGAAGGAATTTTTGCTTATATTTCTGTAGAAAAAGAATCAAAAACATTTGTAGGGTTGTCTCCCAGAATAAAATAAGACTGGTAGGAACTTTGATTGCAACAGTCCTTTTGCATTAATTTTCTGTTGACATGTTGAAAGGAATGTACTTTCTGCCTGGTTTGTTTCTGATGGGATGCTGGAGACCTATTTCCATGGAACAGTCTCCCAGCACAATTTCTGTCCCCAAGTTACACAAGTTCCTTTGTGGGCTCAGGATTTTTTGTGGAGGTGGCAGCGTGCATCAGAAAGTTGGTGTTTACATTGTGTTGAGGTCTGTTCCCTTGATAATCCAGTTCCATTGTGGTTCTGTTTATATTGTCTTTTATTTTTCTTTTTTATTATCTTTTAAGAATTTAAGACTTCATTTAGCTGTCAAATTGCACAGTTTTATCAAGAGAGATATTTTTAAGTCAACACAAAACATCTTGTGGGAGTGCCAACCCCGTATGAAAAATTGACTTTGATTATGTGATGTGTAGACTGCTTATTTCCCCAGTTCCAGAGCAGATGTTTAGTCAACTTCTGCATTGTAATTTTAAGTATATTTTTGTTTTACGTGGAAATCTCTTATTTTGGTGTATTGTTTTCTATGGAATGTGTAATTTTTCAGAAATAAGAAAACTGTCACATCTTACTTTTAAATCATTCTAGCGCTATTGCTCTAAGAACGAGCAAGACAATGTGCAGCCCTGAGAATTGTGAAATTTTACTTGTCTAAAACTTGGCATAAAAATTAACTCAACTCTGCCTAGAAAAAATCCCAGCATTCAATGCTGGACATCCAAAACATTCGATATTTAACTCTTTTCGTAGTTTCAGATGCATCTCATGCTAAAAGTGTGAAAGTTGGACTAATCCTGTATCTATGCTGAGTCTCTTTCCCAGAGAAACAAATATATCAGAGAGGAACTTAAATATGACAATAAGTGAAGCTGTGGGAGAACATCAGTAGGTAATACACATAGACACCAGATAATAACATCTTAAACCTTAGGAAGAAAGCTTGTTTTTCTTCCTCAGTGTTTTATTTAAATATAGACCATAGTGTAGTTCATGGGTCTCATCCTCAGTTTTGAGAGACCAGGTTTTCAGTTCTCTGAAATGTTTAGGCTAGGGTGGCTTATTTTGCAGTGAGGTTCTGGTTTTGGAAGCTTGTTTTGGCTTCTGGTGTGAGTATATAAAAATATTTTCTTTAAAAAATAAAATAATCACAATGTGACCCCCTCTTTCCCCCAGTTATGTTAGGATGCAATATCTAGGATTCCTGCTACTTTATTGGTAGTCTTGAGACTTTGGTCAAGACTTAGTTTAAGTTCTTTTAAAAATATTTACTGAAATTTAAGTGCTGTAAAGTTAAACTGGAGTCTTTCTTAAACTTAACCACTGGCAGAGTACCAGGCTCACAAAATAAGATGCAAAAGGAGAAATGGTACAAACTCCTCTCATATGTCTGGGTTTTCTGGTGGTGCTGATGCTGGGGTTCACAGCCTGGCATGTGGGGATCTGGGCAGGTGCACAGCTCCCTGTGTCCAGCCTTCCTGGCAGCTGGAGCAAAGTGAAGGTTCTCCTTTCTGTCACTGCCTTGAGTCTGCTCTGGGACTTGGTCTGTGTGAGGAGGGGAGAAGTGCTTGGAGGAGGAGCAGAGGTAAAGGATTTTACTCACCAACTCCCCAGAAGTAAGGAAATGCATGTGTTTTCACAGAATCAGGATGTAGTGAAATGTTACTCATGACTACAGATAAAACCCTCAAATTTGATAGATACTTGTAGTGTACTTGTTGAGTTTTTTTTAGAGTCAATATGAATTTTGGGCTTTGGACCTCAATTTAAACATTCATCTCTTTGACATGGTTCTTAACGTTTCTGTAATTATTAATGAACCACAATGCATCAGGCTGTGGCTGAACATTTTGATTGCTAGATAAGACATCAAAATAACACAAGTTCTTTTACCTAAGATTACTCATGTGATTATGTATCTATGAACATACATACATATATTTCTAATATTATCTCTTTAACCTTGGCATACTTGGCATTTTAATGTAGTGGTTATCACTGTTTTTTATTTGTGAATACAATTTGTGCATTTTTAAACTACAGTGTGTCTTGATTAAACAAAATACAACAGCAGCAAAATGGTTTGACTGCAACTGATTTATTCTCTTACCACCCAGCAAAAGCTGTCATGAAGAATTGCAGATGGTTCTGTGATTCTGTGACTTGGTGATGGCTGCTCTAACTGGAGGGTGAAGCAGCTGCTCATTGTGGTGCCAGTGCCAAACACCTTACAGGTTATGGCAGCACCTAAAGAGTCCTCTTTGTTTGCTTCCTTTTTATCAGTGTGTCAGATACAGAAATCCAACCTTTTTATCTGCTAAATTATTTTAAATGTGCTGGGGTTAAAAAGTCTGTTTAAGTATTTTGGGCCTTTCTCATGGTTGTTTTTATGCCAGTGTGGGAAAGGAAAACAAATCCTCTTGCTTTTTCAATTGTTACAATTTAAAATGGATTACTTTTGAACTGTACCAAATGGAAGGAAAAGAATTATTCTTTCTGCTTATGCAGAAGAGGCTGTGGCCAAGTTACTGGCTCAGATGAGCTCTGGTTTCAGGTGCTTAGCCAAAGAATGCCTTTGCTTCAGTAACTTGGTTTCACTGCACAATTTCTGAAGTCTGCTGCTTGAAATTTCTATAGTTGTGCATGTTAATACAAGATGTCACTTGAAAACAACTGCCTGTATTTAATTAGGATTGCAAATTTGAAATTTAGATCAATTTTGAGAAAATACATATAAACTCTAATTAGCTTGAAACCATTTTTGTGTAAAGTAGCTCAAAATTAAATATATAAATGCTGTGGAGGGAGTTAGATGGGCTGTCACAATTTTAACTGTTACACTTTTAGTGCCTCTTTTCTCCCTGCGAAATCAGAGGGCTTGAATTAATTTGCTGTTGTGAAAAAAAAAAATGTTTTGAGGCCTATACTTCTAACTTCTCAAATATTTATTTCCTTTGCTCAATGCATATGCAGTCTTATTTTTGCTGTGATTTGCGCATTCATAAAGCAGTCTCAGGTGGCTGGTGTAGAAGGAAAGTTACAGTGTGAATTTCTCAGCTCTCAGACAGCATAAGTGAGCTGTTATAATGAATGTTACTATCCATGGTATCCACATTAATTGTACTCCTCTCTTCCAGCCAAGGAATATTGCAGGACAATATTTTCCTATGATGGCTCAAATGATGAGCTGAGCTTTAAAGAAGGCGAGATCATTCAAATAATCAGTAAGGTAAGAAAGTTTGGTTCTGCTCTGCCCGTGTGTATGGCTGTGGTGAATTTCATACAGGGGGGTTGTGTATGAATTGAGAACCAGGAGGCTCTGTTGGAGTAGATATTCCTGTAAACCGATTTCTCTCGTGTGGGGGTCAGCTCTGTGCTTCTGCACTTGATGGAGATCCAGATGACTCCAAAGATGGTTCCAGAGTGGGAGGTTATCGTGGGGTCCTCAGAGGCCAGTGGGATCAGTGTACCTTCAGTACCAAATGCTTTTTCAGTGAGGAAATGGGAAAATCTTTGCAAACAGCCCCTTTACCTTCAGAAACAGTTCTTCTTCCCTGGTGATTCAGAATGAGCAGACAGAAATTAGTGATACTTTCTGTCTATAAGAGAAACATGACTATTTAGTTGAATGTTCTCATTTGTGTTGAATTCTGAAAGCACCTTTTGGTCATTTTGTTGCAGAGATGGTTCTAAACAGGAAATAAACCTATCCATACTTAATTTCCTTGCACTATTCTGCAGTCTTTTGTTTATATGCTTGCTATATTAAGGAATAATGACTTTCCTAAAAAAGTGGAAAATTTAATCTTCAACTTTCTCTCACTTGCAGAAGAAAACACATTTTTTTTATTAAGATTTCAATTTTATGGAATTAAGTTATTGATATTATGAGCATCCTTGATCATAAGTACAGTGGAAAAGAGTAACTATGGAAGGCCCTTTTGTAAATACAGCAACCCTTGCCCCATCTCCACTCAATCTCTGCCTCTCTGTCTTATTAAGACACCCAAGCACACACTGGTCCAGAGTGGAGCTAAGAAGAGTTGTTCAGACTGAGTGACATCTCTGCCCATGGTAGGGGGTTTGAACTGGATGATATTTCAGATCCCTTTCAGCCCAAACCATTGTAGGTTTCTGTGATTTTTTTGGTAAAGTATAACATCATTCTTTCTGTTATGGACAAAGGCCTTGATCCAGTAACATCATGTAATGGATTTCTCTGCCACTGAGTAAATTATCCAATACTTTAATTTCTTTTGTTGTAGAATGTTGTTTTTTTTTTTCTCTCTGTGGGGTATATTCTTCCTCTTCTTTACCCTTTCAGACCAGTGGAGCTGATCCATCACATCAGAATCAATTTTATTTAGTGGAATTGTGTGTCATGCCAGTAACATTTGAAGCATTTACAGAGTAACTTGCTGGTCAAGGAAGCTGAGAAAATCAAATGTTAGGTCTTAGCTGGGTTTGTGTACTTTTCTTCCCTTTGCAGATCTTATCCTTATACCCTTATCTTATATGATGTAATATAATTTCATCCTGCATTTTAGAAAACAAACAAAAACTGACCAAACCTGATCTGTTCTGTAGATGTTTCCCCTTGTTAAATTGGCCAATTTCAGACAATTACTTTGTTGTGTGTAAAAGGGAAAGAGTTGTTGTGTAACTGTATCTGTTCTGGGGAAGAAGTAAGTATTGGTTGAAATGACCTTTTGTTTATTTTAGGACACTGGAGAGCCGGGCTGGTGGAGAGGAGAGCTCAATGGTAAAGAAGGAGTCTTCCCAGATAACTTTGCTGTTCAAATACAAGAATCTGATAAAGATTTCCCTGTAAGTTCTTACACCTATTGTTTAGTATCACAAGAAACCGTTGATGAAAATGCGGAGAATAAAAGAGGTCACAGCACATTATGCAGCTTAAACTATTACAATTATGGCAGTTTTAACTTTATCTTGACCTAGTTGTGTAAAAGAAGAAAGATGAAAAGGTTAATCTTTGTGTTTAACTTGACCATAAATACTAAAATGATTCGTGCTTTTTGAGATAAAACTCTAATTAATGAGGATGATCAGGTCATTTAGAAAAGAGTGTAGTTCTGATGGCATGGTGTTACATGTTGCTGGTTACTGAATTAAACCCTTGCTGTTTAGAAAGGAGATAAGCTGGTTTTTGCACCTCACGTCCTTAACTAACTGTAATTACAAAATGCTAAGTGACCTCTGAAGGTTATTTTTTGAGTCCGATTTGGAAATATTTTTTCACCATCTTGTGTACTAACTTGTAGAAATTCACATTTTCGTGTGGGAGTGACCGTGTAATTTTGGTCCTTGTGTTACAATTTTTTTTTGTTTGTTGAGATTAGTGTGGTTCTGTCACATTTGTGTAGCAAAGATGGTTGTGTTAATTCCCAAATGTACATGAACCCCAGGTGGAATGGATTCAGCTCCAGATCAGGTGCTATTAATTTCTCATTTATCCTGAGTTGCCTCACATCCACAGAAACCTACCTACCCCTAGTCAGAATTTTCTTTTCAGACAGATTCTCTGCTGGGCAAGGGCAGCATAAATGCCATAAAATACAAGAAGAAAGGGTAGGTAGGGTTGCTGTATCACAATACAGAGTTGTTTCCTACAGAGAAGGAGAAAAAAACCATTATTTTACCCTAAACAGCATTTCCTGGCTTTGATCCTTTCTTCTGTTTTGTGTGCAGTGTCTTAGCACAGGGATTCACCTTGCACTGAGCAGCTTTGAGGTTCAAGGCATTGGATGACTGGTGATCATAATCAGCTATTTGATACTGACTTCATAAAAACACAGAGCAGAACTGAATAATGGCAAGTTGATGCTGAGATCTGTTTAATTGTTTTTGGTATAGGCACCAATGCTGCACAGCTGGATAATGTAGTTACTTTTCTGGGGGAAGAAAGAAAATAGAATCTTGTTACTTAGGTACACTGCTTTTGTGTCCTCTGAAATGAGAAAAGAAATTGTATAGGGGTTCTTCTCCTTGCTTAATTACATTTTGCATGTTAGAATAAAGTCTTGCTGCATTAACAGGAGCTTTTTCAATAGCTCTAGGGGCACAGAAATGAAATCCATCCATAGCAACTTTTAAAAATACCCACTGCGAGGTGTTTTTGGAGGGGTTGTGTTAGACTGAGCCTGTATGGTTTCAGCAGTACCTGTGTAAAGAATAAGTGGTTTTGTAGGCTTTTGTATCATTTTATCAGGGAATCTTGTCCTTAGTACAACCAGAAAGGCCCCTCTTGTAAAGCAATTTAATGAATCACATTGTGAGAATGAGTGGTTGAGATCTCTCCTGAGAGGTGCCAGTGTCCTTTCAGCAGGAGAGAGATGCAACTTCAAGTGTATCAGAAAGTGATGAATGACTGTTTCAAAATAATAATTTCAATGTACAAACTGTTGCATTGTGATACTTTGTGATACTTTGACCATTTTTAATGCCTGGTGTTCTTTGTTCATCTTTCCCACTTAAGTAAAATGATAAGGGAGCTCAAATCAATGTTTTTCTTGTAGCTGCAGTCTTTGAGACAAATGCAGCCAGCATCTGTTTGTTTTCTCTTACACTTGTAATTTAAAAGTCAATTAATTGAAGCCGTTCCTCTGATACATAATTTAGAAATCTGTTTTTAGTGAGAGTGAACATTTTTGGTTCAAAAAAATTACCTGGTTACTCTTTTAAACTGGCATGTACTAATTAAAATGAGTGTGATCAGATCAATTCTTTGGACTAAAAAAGATGAGATTATTGGATTTTAGTTCTTTTTTTTTCTGTTATGCACATTGCTGAAGCACTCATTTCATTTGAACTGACCTGAATTTTGGTCCTGAATTTTTGTAACTGGTTGTCTGAGAGATATCAGAGGAATTGTTCCATGTGTTTGGGTTTCCTGTCTGAATTGATTGCCTCCTGTATGAAATACTTGGAAATCAGCTGGTAAACAAGCTCCAAGTTACAGTATACAAAACAAAACACAAATGAGGCTGTCTTGGATATGGAGAATATCTGTTTGCTTGCTTGTTTGACTTTGTTTTTTCCCCCCTTCGTTTTGCAGAGGCCAAAGAAACCTCCACCTCCAATTAAAAGCCCAGGTATGTAGTACATGTATGGTGGTCAGAAAATACTAAATTTCAGAAGCAGTGCATGACTTCAAAAGAAAATTTAGAAGCAGCTTTTTATTTCCTAGTAATGCAGCCATAGTCACACTTTGAGGTTACTTTCCATATTTTGTATATTTTGCTGCTGCTGTATATTTTTAAAATTATGATGGAGCCTGGTTTGGAAACATTTTAACAATGGCTCACCGTTTTCTGGGCTCAAGTGAGTGTTTATAAATGGTATTACATTCCTTGCAAAAGAGAAGACACAACTTGGCATGAGTCTTATTTTTAGTTAGTGACCAAGATAATTAAAGCTCTTTGAGAAATGTCTATGATTTGCTTTTGCATTCAGCTGCAAGACCTGAATTGCCAACTGGAGAGAAGAAATTCTTTTCTTTGAGGCCTGAAGAAAAAGGTAAGGACAATTTTCTTCATGGTGACTTGGCTGCTCTGGCAATAGGCTCTTTGTTAGGAGCCATTGTACAAACTTCCTTGCTGCCTTCTACTGAAGTTTGCATGTGTGAGATGTTACAGAGATATCTTTGGAGTGATTAGAGGAACTGCTAAACTCCACTGAAATCTTTATTTCTGTTACTGCATTATGTTCTGAAGATTGGTTATTGCACTGCACAGTAACGCAGTTACTATAAATTCATGAAGGGGGGGTAGTTCTGTGACAGTGGCTGCAGTTTTTAGCAGCAGTAGTAAGTTACTGGAAAAGCAAAGGTTGACCACTACAAAAATCAGTCTGATCAAAAGTATTTTGAAAGAGCTACACAGAACAAGTACAAGACTCCTTAGATAGATGTTACAGTTACAATAGATGTTACAATACTTAGAAATAGGTATTTCTTGTCCTGTTAATTCTTGCCATATTACATATTTTCAATATTTCATATTTTCCACTGAATTTGGAGACATTTACTGCTTTATTCTTAAAATTTAAAGGACACTTTTTTCCAAAGGCAAAGCTACTATTGTCACCCAAACAGATTCTAAAAGACTTCTTTCTATGTTTAAAAAACTTGCCAAGTTAAAATGTTTGATTATGTTTAAAAGTAAAATGCTTGAACAACCTTAAAGAGATTGGGCCTTGCAGAAGAAATCCTGATGTTCCTGAAGCTTAACCAAATTACAAAACCACTGTGTCCTGTGAATGGTGAACTGACCAGCATTTCTACCAGTGAGGCTGTTGATGGCTTTCTTGGGCAGGTTCTATTACCCATTTTAACAAGGCATCTTCTCAGTTGCTGAATATGAAAAGCACTTGTTAAAGTCAGTTCTGTTTGTTGTGTATGTGAGCAAACAAATAATTTTTATCTGTTGGAGCAGTATCTTCAGGTTTGAATTGAGGTGTATATATGATTCCAGAAATGTTGATCACGTGGCTCCTTTTAATTTTTTCTGAACTCAAGGAAGTTTAATTTTAAACTGATCCTGTTTCGACTATAGCGTTAATCTTTACATAGTTGAGCTCACTGTTCATGAAGGAATATAAGAAAAAACATTGAGTGACACCATCCAAAAAACATAGGAATGTGAAATCTACAAAATTACATAAGGTAGAGAACTCTTCTTTATTGAGCTACAAGAAATGCAGGAGGAAAAATTTGTCATGTATTCAGTTGCAGATCAGGTCATAAAAATTAATTTTCTAGATAGCAGTGGTGCTTTACTGGAAGATATGCCCATTTATCAGTGCAATTGTGCTTGTGGAAAAATAGCCTTGTTAATACTAATAATTAAACCCATTAAGAAGGAAATTGTTCTGTAGCTAGTTCTCAGAAAAAAAATATTAATTGAGCAGCTCTAATCGGAAACTATCAAACCATGTCATTTTTACGCCTATTGGGAGACTAATCTGCCTTTAATTACAATCAAAAATTGATCAAAAATTAAAAGTAGAGTTTCTATGAGTATTTCTGTATTTATAGTGAAGGACACTTAGTGGTGTCATGTAGAAATTTTTTTCCAGTGTAAATGTCTTCAGATTTGTATCTTTTATTTCCATTACTAAACTGTTCATTTTTAGTCAACACTCTTTTTCATTGAGGAGCAAAATCCAAAAAAGACATTTCATTTTGTCCAGCAGAAATGCCCAGTTTCTGTGCTCATGGTGAACCTTGGCCTTTGGCATTAACTTATTCCACTTAGCTATAGACATTTTTTATATTCAGATTTTGAGTGGGAGTATTAGAAGGGAGAACTGACAGATGAGAGTTCAGGAATAGGATTCGATGACAGCATTGTTTTCTGCCCTGTTTATGAACTCACTCATTTTTAAAAGCAAAAGGGGTAATTCTCAGCTTGTGCTCAGCATAGCTTCAATGCAGACAGCTGATCTGCAGTTAGCAGTGGCTGGTGTTGGGTGATTAAAATGCGATGTTGTGTTGGGTGGGGAGGCAGCAGTGGCTGCTGCTGCTTTGCACAGGGCAGGCAGCCCCACCGTGTGGCAAATCCTTCCACTGCTGCAGCGCCCTGCATTGTCAGCTCCGTGCTGAGAGAGACTGAGAGATGTCAGCCAGCTTGTTCTTTTGCTCGTGTTCAAGTGTCCCAAAGTGGGAAGAGAATTCTGCCCCTGAGCAATGCTTTTGACAGAAGTATCTCTAGGATCTGTTTGCTTGCCAGTACTCCTGTGAAAAAACATTCTTCCTGTTCTAGGGTTGGAGGGATGCTCAGTAGCTGCAGGACTTGTCCAAAGGAAATCAGTCCTTGACCTGGCAGTTCAGACACTTTGCTGGCATGGAGCTGAAGCAAATACCCAGCCCTGCTCCCAGATCCATAGCACATGTAAACATTTTACACCAGATCAATACTTGGTTAAAAGCAAATTGCAGGAGGGGAGGATGGGGAGAATCAAAGCTGAACGTCACTCTCTCCATCCCAGTTTACTGATTCACTGCCCTATAAGGGCAATAACTGTAAAGAACTGTAACCCCTTGTTGTAACCTAACATTTATTTTTTCAAATATTCAGTACTTTGTGTTTGCTAAACTGTGGCATGGTTTTACAGGGAGAAGTAGAAGGTTTGCTCTGGCTATCCAACAGGGTAGAGGTAGGACACATAGGTTAAAACCTATTCAACTATTTCTTGTAAAGCAGCTTGAATTTTTCAGTGTACCATATGCTGTATGTCAACTTCTCTGGACAGAATTCAGTTAGGTCATGCAGTCATTGAACAAATAAATACAACTTTTTTTAAAAAAAATATTATCTATACTTAATTTCTATCTCTTTGTAGGAAGGTATACATTAGATAAATTCATCTATTCAGATAACTCATTTCTCTCCCCCCCTTCTTCCATAAATAAATTATGCTGCTTGTGTGTGTAAGAAGTCTAGTTACAACCCTACCTCTTTAAAAGGAAATCAAATTAATTTGTAAAAAAGACAAAGCAGTACAAAGATTTTTGGGTCTTAGCTGTCATTTGGAGTGCAATAATGTGAATCCATAATTTATTACTACTGTTTCATGTCAGTAGGAACGTTTATCTTACTCTAACATAAATCTTTTGTGCTCAGGTAAGTAGTTTGTGTGTTTTGTTAAGGTGTCATTTACAACACTTGCCTATCTATTTTTCATTTTAATCTTCAAAGAAGGCATTTCTGACAGCAGGTGCTTTCTAAGAATTCTAAAGAATTCTAAACAACATGGGGTTTTTAAAATGTGACTTCCTTTGTCAGATGAAAAAGGAGCTTTGGATCAGAAGCCTTTGAAGCCACAAGCTCCTCAAGTGCCACCCAAGAAGCCGATTCCTCCAAGCAAGACCAACAGCTTACTGAGAGCAGGGCTCCTGCCCCCCAAACGTCCAGACAAACCTGGTTTGCCATCGTCTGCATCCAAGTCAGTATCACTTAAACTGCAGTCACCAAGTAGATTCAATTTGATTTGTTGTTTGATCTTCCTTCATGGATGAGTTAGGAAGAAATGTGTGCTTTAAGGGTGAAAAGGATGCAAAGATAAGTTTTGCCTTACACCTCCCAGTGTCTTAGTTCTCCAAGTCTCTGTCAATGTGAACTCAGACCTTTCAAATCCTTTGAGACATTGAATCCATCTCGGAGTCAGTATTAGAGCATAACCGACCATGGGGCAGATGAAATTGCTCATCTGGGGGTTGCTGTAGCTACAGTAACAGGGTGGAGTAAAAGAATGTGGGCATGGCCTTTGAGAATTATTATTGTGTAGGAAAAAACCCTGAAAATTGGAGCTGCCTCAGGGTTCAAGGCTTGAGCACTTAGTACAGGGTAGGATAGATGGAGAGGGAGAACTGAGCACAGGTACCTGTGCTAAAGGTACTCACTGTGGCTCATGTTTGCTTCTGGGGAAGGAAGCACTTAGTACAGAACCACATTCAGATTATCCCCTCTTGAGCCTTCTCACTTGAGTTACTGGATAAATAAGGACAAATGCTTCTACATCCACTTAGGTTTCTTTTTCCTCGTGAGTTTGAAACTTTAACGAAGGCTAATTTTGCATCCATACAATCCCCCACACGCAGAATTTTCCTTTGTCTCCATCACAGTAGTTGCTAGGCCCTTACCCGGAAGTGTAAACCCACAGCTGACTGGTAACTGTCCCGTTGGGATGTTCAGTTGGCTTGAAAGAACCATGAGCAAGTGAGGTTGTGATATACTTGGCCTTGTGCAAATAAAGCAGACAGCTGCTACATCAAAGAGCTTGCACCTTAAATAACTTTTCAGTATGGAATTGTGTTGTATTCACTTAGTATTTTGGAGACTTTCCCAAGTAAAGATTATTTTTTTAAAACCACAAGTCATATTCTTTTCCAGCTTAGAAAATAATTATTGGTCTAAAGGGATGCACATGTGCAGTTAAATAGAGGTCTGTAGTAAGCTGTGGGCCTTTAATAATTGAAACCTTTAAAACTTAGAGATATTTAATTGTCTGGAAGTTTTTAACATTGTTTTAGGAAGATCAGGCTGCTGTCCCTTTTTCTACTGCAATAAAACTTAACAGGCTTTGATAGGTGAATTAATGAAAGGAGCACAGTTTATATTTGGCATGTACAGGCCAGCCATTAGGCCTGGTCAGAATGGGTTTGTGATGGCAAGAATTGTAAAGGAAGATGTTGCCTATTCTTCTGTATTTATTTTAGTGGGGGTTTTAGTACTTTGTGTTTTATTCATTGTTGTTCTTGGGGTTTTTTTGTCTGTGAATGATGAGAGCAGATATGGAAGGAATGCATGGTAGAAAAAAAGCTACAAGGTAGCTTTTTCCATATCCAGCAAGAAGTAACTTGTTATTGTCAGCCTTTTTTCCTGTAAGGAACATTTCTTTTATGTCAAGGACTCAGTTTCTGAATTATTTCAGGAGGTACTAGTGAAAATGTTATTCAGCTCACCTGTCATTTGAGGTGTAATATTTTAGACTGAAATGCCAAAGTGTGTCCTATAGTAAAAGTTCTGGATTATTTTCACATGGATTTTGTGCACATCTGACAAGTCTGTAAGAGCTGGAACAGAAGAATTGATGTTCATAGGAGTAGAATTGATCTCCGGAAGCCTTGGTTTTAAAACAAGGCTTTAGAAAATGATAAAATCTACTGTAATTTTTCAGTTTGCTTCTAATTCTTGGCACGTTTCCCTTTTAAACTATTTCATCTCTTGACTAGGAATGTTTTGTCTTTTTTTCTTACCACAGAACTAATGGAGAAGTTGTTACTCTTCGACCAAAATCTGAAGTTGAGCCAGTAGCAAAACCAAAGTTAGACTCTGAACCATTGCCACTCAGACCAAAATCAGTAGAGGTAGATTCACTTGTGGTAAAGAGCTCTAAAGAATCAGGTAAGAAAAGAAATGTTCTTTTGGGCCTTTCTGTTTGGATTGCTGTGTTTTACAGGGTTGGAATAAGCTTTTTGAGTGATTTACTCAAAATGCCACAGAGTGCATTTATGCCTGTAAGAGCTGTAGGCAGCTGAAGGTAAGAGTCAGGAGGGGATGGCCAGATGTCAGCAGGGTATTTGCAGGGAGCTGCTGAGCTCTGGGTTGTGAGAATGGGCAGGAAGGGAGACAGAGATAATGGATGGTTTTTCTAATTTAAAAGCTTGGTTTTTTTGTTGCCTCTTTCATCTTGAGTTTTTATGAAGTTGTTTTCTTAATGGCTGGTTCAGTTTGTTCTGCTCTTGAAGTTCAGATAACTTTGCTTTTCTAGCTTAGCTTCAGAATTCTTAGTAACGCCATTACCTTCAGCCTCCTGTGATGTAATTCAGAGCTATTCTAGATTTTGACTTTACCATACCTTATATTGGGGCCTTAAAAAAGCATGGAGCATTGTACATTTGAATAGCATGCTTATGGCTTTGCTTAAAGCACCTTGAACCAAACCTGGCATCTCCTTAATTCTACATATATCCAGTAAAACCCTTTGTAGTGGTTAAAGCACCTACATTTAATGATCAGAATCTCTGAACTACTCTATTGATACCATTAGCCCTTGACTGACAGTGCAACTGTCAGACCTCTGTGTGTCACTTAGGCAGAGATCAGCTGCTGTGGGCATATTTTTCTAAACTATAAAATATTTCTATTTTATGATTAACCTCGTCAGAAAAAGCTGTAGTGAATTACACCTGCAGTGTTCGTCTTGCATATCTCAAATGCAACTTTTTGTCTCAGAAAAATTTTAGTAATAATAAATATAAAAATACTATAAATATATTTATTTTTAGGGCAAATTGTGATATTCTAGTTGTAGAATAGTTGGTCCAAAGTATAATAAATTCATCTGGAAGATAAAAATAATGCATTAAAAGAACTGAAGCAGTTTAGGAATAAAAAGAATATTCCTGACTTTTTTTCATTGAGAATGTTAAAATACGCTTTTTAAGTGTGAATGCTTTATATGAGGAAAGGTTAGTTCATGTATGTCTTTAATGCAGAAGTTTTACTACTCAGATTAGATAGCAGAAAAAAAAATTCTTTGATATGAGGTGAGGCCCTGGCACAGGTTGCCCAGAGAAGGTGTGACTGCCTCATCCCTGGAAATGTCCAAGGCCAGGTTGGATGGGGCTTGAAGCAACCTGGGATAATGGAAGGTGAAGATCTTCAAGTTCTCTTCCAACCCAAGCCATTCCAAGCTTACCAGCTTTCTAGATAGTATAATAAATTCCACGAGTAGCTCTAGGGTTGTGCTAGATATGTTAATATATAGGATAGTATTATTTAACCTCAGGAAAAAATCCCTATGAAAAAACTGAAATATCTTTCTTTTTTTCCCTTTACATCCAGTTACTGTGACATCTTTAATAATCAGGATGGCAACATAGTACCTGTGCTGTTAGGTGTTCATGTATATACTTATACATGTATATACATATATATATTCTTACTGCAAGAATATACTGTGACAGGAAAAGAATAATTTTACACAGATGGAGGAAATAAAAACTATGAATTTTTTTTTTTGCTAACATAGGTTTTTATAGGCTTATGGAGAAATGACAGGTTTTAATACCTAGATGGGGCAGGGCACAGGGGTGCACAGTGGGCTCATGGGTGAGGTCTGTTCAGTTCTGTTTAGTGCACAGCAAGCAAAGGAGGCTCAGGCAGTTCAGGTGGGGCTGCAGCACTGAGAAGGGTCAAGGAGCTACAATTGAAGGAAAATTTCAGAAATCGTGTTTTTCAAACTGACATTCCTTAAAGCAATCTGCATAAGTCACTCCTGCTGCTCTTGTGAAAAAGGACTGATCCAAACTCCTGCCAGTAAAATGTAATGAGTCTCATACTCTAATTCTCTACATACTGTGCTGGCTAAAGACATAATGCCCTGTGCAGCAAGGCTATATAAAACTACAAAAAAAGATACTGGGTCCTTATATAATGTTTAAGACTGTTTAATCTTACAATAAATAGAATAAGTATTAATAAAAGATGAGGGAAAATGGATGGCTGGGGCTGGCAACTGCTTTACAGAAGTCTTTATTTTTTATTTCTTCTCCCCTCTTCAGATTATGATCCTGAGGTAGATGAATTTTTAGGAAATTTTTTTTTTCTAAATATGGGTCCAGTTTTTGCATCTTGGTTTGACCATGAAGTGAGGTTTAGATTGAGTCACTTTCAGTTTAGCATAATAAAAAGCTGTAAATATTCTGTAATGAAAAAACTAACCCAACCCATGCCAAAATTATGTCACCAGCCATCAGATCAGGACAAATAATAAGAACTATTTAGAAATATTGATCACATTGAAATAACTCCTCTTGACATTTTATATGAAAAATTGCATAAATGTTTCTCTTTTTGGTTAGAATCAAGTACTGTAAAAAAAGACTAAAGCTGTAATACTGGCATGCTGAACATGTAAAGCAATTCTGTTTCTTCTACAAATGTTTCTTTTTCCTGCTTTGTAAAATAATTTTTTTGTTCAGAATCTTTTTCTAGACATTCCTCTCCTTGACTTTTCTTTCCAGATTTTGTTTCCTATCCTGTTTGCCATGTTTCCCTTCTTACGTGTCAGGAAATTACCCTACCCTTCTCCATTTTGGTAAGATAACAATCTCTAAGGAAATCCAAATGCTTTATTCCATACACATATCCTCTTCTTAACATCGTGAGCGTGGTTTTCAGTTGCAATTATTGGTACTAAAGTTTGGGGGTTTCTATTAAAAATGCACTTTTTTTGTTTGTTTGAATGCCTGTTTTCCTTAGCTGTTAAAGAAGTTACTTTAAGTAGGCTTTTCCATTAGGAACTGGTGGGGACTAAAAGTAAGAAAAAAATTTATAGTTGAGCTGTTGATAACCCAAACTTATTGTTTGTTTGTAGTGAAATGTGTTCAGTACCTTTAGCACGCCTGGTGTATGTAGGTTGAGTGGCTTTATCATTCTGTACATACAAAAAACATAATCATGAAGCTTTTGGGCACTTAAATATTTTACAGCTTATAGCTGTCCCCTGAATTTTTGGTTGGAAATCTCAGCAAGATGAGTAATAGGAGAAAGGACACCATCTTTTTACTCCACAGATTAATGTGAGTTCTTATCTTCTGAAATATTGGATACGTTTCACTTGTATCATGGGTGTTTAAACCCCAGCCACAAGAGGTGGTGGAAACATAATTTCTTCAGCCACCCTTCAGCTTTGCTTCTTTTTGTGAAAGCTTTTTAAAACAAACTGCTATGAATACACTTGTGAAGCATTCACAAATCTTAACAAAGGCTCTCATTAATTGTACCTGTCAAAGCTCCTAACAGCTCTGTGGTGGATCCATGGTAAGCTTGTAGAAGAGACATTTCTAATAGTCCATTCTATGTAACTTTAGACTTAGCTCATCTTCTTAGAAAGGTGCTCTTGCTCAGTCATAAAGTCTTTTTTTTGACCCAGATTATCCAGATGTGTGGCATTGCTCTTTTGGCACCACAATGGAATTTCCTTTAACAATTGCTCTCAGGCTATCTCTAAGAATCATATTTGATAAATCATTTTATTGATTGAAATGTGTGTAGGCTGTGAACTTTCAATGGACTTTCAGTATCTCTATTGATTTAATGATTTATTGGTTAAATTTTCTCTAAAATAACTAAAAATGCTGTTTAATTGAAGAAAAACAATAAAATAAACCCCTAAGCCTGCAGTAAAACCAATCAACCTACCACCACCATCAAAAAACCCAAACCCAATCTCCACCAAACTGTATTTTAATTTCTTCCCTATACCAAAACAATAAATTGGAAAGGTAAAAAGAAAAATTCAAGTACAGTCAAAATTCCTTCTGACTGGAGTCTGCTGGCAAAATCTTAATGCTGAGCAATTCTCTCAGGTGTAAGAAATTATTTTAGAAGCTCGTAGAAATGTGGAAAAAATCCTTGGATTTTGTATCATCCCACCATCTATATTTAAATAGTATATAGTTCAGGACCATAGCAGTCTTCAAGTCTTGTCAAATATTGTGATAATTTTTTTTTAAAACTTAACATTTTTCTTAATATATTCTTAATATTCTTAATACTCCTGATGTTTACTGTTTGGAGTCAGGATGGCATTAAAATCATAATAGCAACTACATTTATAATTCTTACTTAAATTTCTTGCAAAATGATTTGTCATTTTTGTGGAATGACAAAAGAAGGATCGTTTAAAGCCAGAAATTAGTGAGATGAGGGAAAAAGGCATAAAATATTTTCTTGTTACCTTTTTAATGATACCTAACTAACATAAATCTTAATTTGCCCTTTGGCAACCTGGTCTAGTGGCAGGGGCTTGAACGGGATGATTTTTAAGGTCCCTTCCAATCCAAACCACTCTGGGACTACTAATAATTGAGTAAAGGCCATGAAGATGACCCCATGGTCACTGATGCTTGCAGTGTATTAAATGAAACATTGGCACAGACTAGAACAGAAATCCCTTCTCATTTATTTCTCCCTCATCCTCTTTTCCGTCAGCTGCTTGCCATTCATTGCTCTTCTGTTTCTTCCTTTTTTTTTTTCTCCCCCGCTTGTTTAATTGCAGGTGTGATTGCATGTTTGCAAAAGACTGCCTTGACATTCTCTTGAATAGAAGTGAAAAGCAGCAAAACTGATTGGTAACAGTGCTGTAAAGGAATAGGTGATGAAGTAGGATTGATCAGGGCTGTCCAAAGGAGCTGAATGTTCTAAGGCCTTCAAGGATATTAATGCAGAGAACACATTTAAATCAATTAAAACATTCAGTGGAAAACTCAGTACCTACAGGTATAAACTAGATTTTACAATGTGTGAATAAAACTTGTATTAATCAGATGTTTTTAAGATATCCAGACACTGAAGGGGCATGAATGGTCTGGCTCAGTGTATCCAAGGCTTTTTTCTTATCTGACTTTTAATGGGAACATAGGAAAAGAGATATTGTAGGTTCTATTTGTTAAATCATAATGTCAAGTAAGAATCAGAGGTCATGAAAAAAAATGAAACCCAAAATCTTGAATGTTGTTTATGGGTACCTGTAGTAAATACTGTGTGGCATTTTAGTTACAGTCTATAGAATAAGTGATGAATTTGGGTTGTAAATGATATATAGTAATCTAATGTAATCTTATGTCAGTGCTTAAATAAAAAACACCACTCAGTCTCACTAAACATCTGTTGCCAGGTAAGTGTATTTACTTTTGTGGAGAAAAGGCTAAGTCCTGTTGTTACATAGGTGAAATACTTATGTTACTAAGACTAGCTGTGGTCAGTTCTTCCTATTATCAACTTTTTTCCTGAAGTTGCCTGTTCCCAGAGGATGTAAAGCATTTCTGCTGATCTGAGAGAGTTTACCTAGAGGTGCAAGCATAAAAAGACTAATGAACAAGGAGATCTGTGTGATTGAATAAAGTGCAAGATTGGAGTTTTGAAGTGTTTTATTAAAGACTTTATGATATGAAGTTGTGTATTATCTTTAGATACTGAACATGAAAAAACTACTGCACAGACATAGGTGCAGTTAATTCTTGTTAGCTTTCACCATCGTGTGGAGTACCTCAGTATGTACTTCACCATTTTGCTTTTATTTTTCTTTTAGTCACAAAACTTGCATTTTCATGCTTTTCATGCAAGTTCAGTGACAAGAAAGTATGCTCTCGAGTAGTTGAATATGGCAGCTCTTAGAAAAAGTATTAAATGTATTTTCTGCAGATGCTGCCATGTTGCTGGGGCGTTTATTCTGTTCACACAAATCAACTTGAATTTAAGTCCTAGTTGAATTAACTTATTTTTTTTCCAAGGGGGAAAATGCAGTTTCCCAGATATATCAGTCATGCAGTTGTTTCAGATACCTCATATGTTGTATATGCTGAAAATCCTTGAAACAATAAGAATTCTGCTAATTCTTTTTTTTTGTGTCTCAAGTTTAAAAAAAGTGATAACACAGCAAAACCTCCTGGTCTTGATGGTGATCTCTGTTTTCATCTTTTTTTAGATCTGTTAAGCTTTGATGATGTAATAGCTACCTCAGATAATCTGTCACACCCGACCGCGAACCGGCCCAAGATGCCTGGTAGGAGGCTGCCTTCCCGTTTCAATAGCAGTAGTCCTGTGAGTATTTTGGGGGTGTTCTCCTAGTAGGGAACTAAAACCTGGCTTCCCAGGAAACAGGACTGCCCTGGGGAGCAGTCTTGGAAGCCATTTATCTGAGAGCAAAATGCTGCAGGGGTTCAATTCCTGTAGGTTTTGTGTGCAGGGAGATCATTCCCAGCAGGCAAGTGAATGTGAGAGAAATAACTGGAACTGTGTTGCAGCTGAAGGAGTGTTCCTGTTCCATGGCTATTGCTGCAGGAAATGCTCAGCTCTTCTGCCCTCGCTGGTGAAACATACACACAGATCTGAAAGTGTCTTTAATGACTTTGACAATTGGCCACTATAAATTTGTAATTTAATGCTGCTGTAATGTGAGGTTTGTGATCTTAGTGCTGATGTGAGGTTGGTAATGAGAAGCAGAGTCCCTGAAATCGGTTTTTGTCACTGGATGTTGCATAGTTAGTCATGCCAGTTACTATATACAGTTCCTGCCTGTTTGTGTTTTGTGGAAGCACCTACAGGCTCCCAAAAGCATCACAGACTTAAGTATTGCAAATATGCTTGAAAATCCTGCCCAAGATTCCTGTGTTTGATTTAAGTTCAGCTGAATATGGGGAAGGAAAGTTCTGATTGTCAGGGAAGAAAAGTCTGCTAGCATAGAAATTTAAGTTTAGTTACATGATTTTCCTCTTTACTATTGTACTTTTAGAAGCATGTAAAAGCTTTTTCTTTATTTACTTTATTTATTTACTTTTAAGTTTTGTTGTTTTTTGGTTGTTTTGTTTTTTTTTTTTTAATTTTGAAAACCTTTTCATTCCTTATGAATGGCTTACCAGGCAAGTCAAAATGTGGGTCCAGAAAAAATTTTGAAGGTGCAGAAAGAAGAAGAAAGTGCCAAACCAAAGCCAGTTGAAACAAAGAAGGTATGATGCTACCAAGTAGCCAGAGGAGTGCTGGGCAGCTTGGTGTTCTGTTCATCCTGTTTGCATTTCTAGTACAGGTTCATGCAACCATCTGAATGCCAGTCCTTATTATTTAAGTACAAGTGAGCTGAGCCATTTAGTATAAAGTTCATAGTAAGAAATTTAGTATTGAAGCTCATTTATATTTAAAAAGTGCATGAGTTCTGATGAAAACTGCTGTATCAGGTGGTGTTGCCCAAATAAGTTCCATATCTGCTCAGCCTCCAATTTCCTGACAGACAGAACAACTGAGCAGATCAGCAAAGTGCACAAAAGCTTGTTTATAATGATCCAGTGGGATCCATTAAGTCACTTTTTTTTTTTAAGTGTAGAGGACTGCAGTGTAAGGACTTTCTTTAGTGACTACAGGAACCTCAGATAAATCCTTAATTCAGAGCTGTATAAAGTAACTATTTCATGTACTTCAGTAATCCATTCAAGCTGGACATTGTTTTTTACCTTTTAGTTAGAAAAATAAGGGAACTTTAGCTCCCGTCCTGGTACAACCTGTGTGCTGCAAGCTTTCAGTTCATAAAGATTTCACTTCTTACCTTTCTGCTCATGTATTTTTTAGCCATCTGCATTCAGCCCAGTGATTCCACCTTCATCTCAGAGACCAAGTTCTGTCATACTCGACTTTTTACCTGGAGACCTCCAACCTAAAGGAGAAGCAGATGATGAAAAAAAATCTGTGGAAGAGCTCAGGACTCAGATTAATGATTTAATGGGTTTAGTAGATGCACTGAAGAAAGAGCATGGGTAAATATTTCCTTTGTCGATCTGCAAAGAGTTATATAGACATCTTATAAATGTCTTCGATGCCAGACTTTAAAACAAGAAAGCTGTTCTATGCTAATAATATATTAATACATAAATTCAGATATTTTCTATTGAAATTGATCCTACTAAATGTCCTAAATGCATACAAATTTGATGTCAGAGTATTTTTGGAATTTGTATGCATTTTCTCCCTCCTACTTTGCACTCCTGCATCCATTACATCTTTTTGAAAGTATTTCTTAAACAGTTTGTTCTTTCATTGTAAGGACAAGTAGTTAATTTTTTGTGGTAATGATGTAAGTACATGTGCAGGCCCTGTGTAACACTGTGCTCAAGTACTTGCACTATCAACGTGGCTGATGGGAACTTGATACTGTAAGGAATTTATTCTCTCTGTAGAAGTAGCCAGGTTATTTTAGGTTATTTTAGCTTGAATTCAACTTTAAATATTAAATAATAGCACAAACTTTTAAGTAGCCTCCTTAAAATTGGAGTTAAAAGTTAAGGATAGGTGAATAGCTGTAAGTAAGAAGTGTTGAGTGATGGTGGAAACTTGTGGTCCAACATACATGAGTAACAATTCACTGGTGGGCATGTGCCTTGTTTTGTGAATCCCACTCATAAAATATAAACAAGACCTGTGCATCCTGTCCTCAGTAATGTGAAGTTTCTTTTTCCCCATTCTAACTTCTGTTTCTATCTTAACTACTATTAGGAGAGAACTGGAAAAACTAAAGAAGGATTTGGAGGAAGAGAAGCTGTTGCGAAGCAATCTGGAGGTAATGTTATCACTTTGGGAGGGCATGGGGAGTTTAGGGGTGTGGAGGCTTTGTTCTGAGATTTGATGTCACAGGAAAGTCTCACCAAACCTGTTCAGTCTCTTTTTGTGTTGCTGTTTTATTTTGTGATTGAATGAATGCTTCATGAGACATTTGGATGTATAGAGAAGAAGTTCAGCTTTCTTTTTCTGGAATATTATTTCTAACAATCAGTCAGTGTGGGGGTTGGGATGGGAGTTCAGTCTGGCATTGCTGGACTCTGCTCTTTGCTAGAAATCTGTGCAACTGGACAAGTTCCAAGAGAGAAAGTTAATACTTTGCATTTATAAGATTGAAAAATCCCTATTTAATTTAGGTAATCAAAAGAAAGGGCAGAAGTAAAACTCTCTAAATTTTTGATGACTTGTTTAAGTGTGGATGATTTGCCAAAAAGAAGAGAATGCATCTGAAAAATTTGCTTATGAATGAACACCACTCCTCAGTTTACTGATGAAGAACACTACCTGCAGTGCAATATGATGACATTAAATAGTTAATAGGATGAGCTCATTGTAGGAAATTATTTCAGTCTGGTACAAAAGGGCATTTTATTTGTAAAATAGTACATCTTGTTGGCTACAAAGCTGCTTGAAACACATGAGAGAAACTTCTGGTGAGTCTCTAATGTGACTCTAAAGCAATCTGTGCTTTAGAGTCACATTATTATATATCACATTAACTCACCACTGCCTTGAATGTGCAGTGGAGATGGAGAGGACGTAACTCCAGGTGTCCTCTGTCCATTTCAAGAAATACAAATTAATCCAGGCAGTGTTTTGCATGAAAGACTTTTTAGGAAGTTACTCTCAGGTGATGGTGCAGCATTACATGGGGGCATGTTAGGTGATTCCATAACCCAGCTTTGACTTCTTTTTTCAAGATAGTTTATCCAGATAAACAGATTTTAAGTGTCTTTGAAATGTAAAGGTTTTAACTTTGATGAAAGCTTTCAAGACTTTATAGCTATTTTAATACTGACTTTCTTTTCAAAATGTCTGTTTTTTCAGCTTGAAGTAGAAAAATTGAAGAAAGCAGNGTCTACATGAGACAGCTATGGACTCAATGTTTCTAACTCGCCAGGAATTCAAAGCTGAACACAAGGAGAACTGACTCTTATTACATTATAATGGATGCTGGTGTTCTACAGTCTTGAAGAAAAAATATAATTAAAAAAAAGGAATATAGTCTTATATTCAGAGAGATAAGAAAACAAAAAAGAATAATGGTGTAATTTTTTTGCCAATATAAAAGAGGCCTTATTTCTTACTGTGCTGGAATTGCAGACCTTATTTTTTTGGTTTGCTTGAAAATACTACTGAATCTGTATAGAAAGGAGAGGGAATTCTTAATAGATTTTTATTGAATACCTGTAGCTTAATTTTTAAAGAGATCTATACTATAAATAGGGTGATCTGTCTTTGCAACTAATCTGTAAAATAGTCTGTTGGAAGGGATGGAATAACTGTATCGTAATTGTAGTCACTACTTTTCCCCTACATGCAAAAGGGAATATATGGTATTTGTATAATTTTGGCAGTCCTACCCAGGGTTATGCTGTTGTGCCTGTCTGCAGTGAGAATATTAATACTATACTGTTCATAAGTTGAGTAATGAGATAGGAATTTGTTAGTGCAATGAAGCAGGTGAAACTCCTATGCATTGTAGAAAGATTGAATGATCTAATCCGAGTAGTTCAGCAGAACGGTTTGTCACTTGCACTATTGGATTAAAAAGGGATTTAAGACTGAATCATATAATCATGACACAATTAACTGTTAAACCACAAGGAAAACAGAAACAAAGTGAGAATCCAGTCTTAACTCAACCTGTTGTGCCTAAAATATTACAGTATACAGCATGAAAGAGTAAACCTTAAGTCACAGCATCTGTACTTCTGTGTTTCTGAAGTCATTGGTCTTTCTAGTGGTTCAAGTATGCATCTTGATCTGTTTTTACAATAGTCAGGTTTTGTTTATAATATATCTCCAAATAAATCCCTTTGGAACTTTGATACTCTCAAAAGCTCTCAATATTTATATATTTATGCCATAAACTTTCTCAGTATATTGCATACCTCTAAACTTAGTAACATCTTTGTATTTTAATGAGTGATTGGAACAATTGCTTTGACATCATTGTACTGGTGTCCAAGATGGTGTCGTTACTTTATGGAAAAGAAGTTGAGATCTTGTGGATTACCATTATCTTTAACCCCTGGGCTCAAAACTTGCACCAGAATAATACATAAATAATATGCAAAGTGATGGGAGACTATGGTATTTATTGCTGTGTTTATCTGATTAAAGAATTAAAAAACATACAGCTTTAGAAAGCCAGTCAAATTCATTAGTTCATTAATCAGCTCATCTCCTTTAGATCTGCTATAACTTAAAAGACAAAAACATGCCACGTAATTTGGCAACTTCACTAATAAAAGAAAGTTATTGAGCTTCTCTTCATGGGAGTAGCATAAATATAGTAATCATTCAGTATGTCACTTGTTCAAGGGACATGGAAGTGTTACTTTTTGAGAGTAATCCCACACTGTGGGATTCTTCCATAGTTGATGTGTCATAAAATACAAACGTCAAAAAGTCAGTTGAGGAATGTTTGTCCATTACTGGTTCAAATAGTTGATGAAATCTCATTGAAATATGATCAATACACTATGCAGGTATTGAGTAATATATACTAGTCAAATTGCTGGTAAGCTGATTGACTCTTAATGCTTTTAACCTTGAATTGCCCAAGTGCATCACAGATGAATTGAGGAATCACATGCTTCATACTGAACTCTTGGAATTCATGCCTGTAAAGCAGGTGATGAAAAACAAGAATTGAGCCTAATGGAGGACCCAGTTTTGTTATACAAGCTCTTCACTGTGATTCGAGCACGAAACAAATCTTGGAAGGGGGTTGCTCTGAAGAAATTGTGCCTGTGTGTGAGCTTGCAGAGGATGAACAGAACAAGACAATCAGTTAAAGCCACAAATGAAAGGTGTTTGTTATTTAATGGCCTTTGTTCGCTATAGCAATAAATGACCCAAGTGCAATGACTTGATTTAATAAACCCTCCTTTAAAAGTCGCTGCTATGAGTATTTGTAGCCATAAGGAAGTTGCCCTGATGTGTGTCTGTCTTGTCTTCAGCTACTGTTATGTACTGCAGTGGAGGGGGAGAGGGTAATGGTTTTGGAGACATTCCACAGTACAAGTTCCTAAGAGCAGTGTGCTTCACTGACTTGTCTACCGGTGCTGTAAAATGATGCATGCTATCCAAACTCAGCAAATAAAATGAGTATAAAAATCTCTTCAGGCGTCTGCTCAGTTCTGTTCAGGAGTTTTGTATTAAAATTTAATACAAATTAAATTAATTGGCCATTAAATTCTTTGCAAGGAGGAGTCTGGGGGATGGAAGCAAAGTATTTATAATAATCCCCCTTTAAAATTTTCCAATTTCCATTTACTCGCTAGGGTACTCTGGCTCCTGACTGTCAGGGTGGCTTAGGACCCAGACAGTTGGAAAGCTCAGTTTTGCTTTGCAAATATAGAATCTTTAACTTCTCAGGATCTATCCATTCCCCCTTTTTTTTTTTTCCTCTTGGCCCATATTGAACTGACCATACTGTGCATCCTCAGAGGCTTTATTTAGGATCCCTATTGCCACTCATTCAAACATGCATTTATCCATGTTACTCCCTTCTTAAGTATATAGTGAAGAACTGAAGACTGAGACTGTGGCATATTTAATAGGGATATGGAAGAGGGCAAAGGCACATAAAGAACAGAGCAGCAGAAGGGCATTTTTGAACTGCCAGGTTTTCATTGAATCTTAAGATTCTCTAAAAATCTTTTGGTAGCACACAAGGTATAGTTAAGTAAAATTACAGGTCTACTTACTTGATTTTATTTTTTTCCACAAAGATGAATCTTTTCATTAATATTCATGGAAGTGAAGTTCTCATGGAAACCTGTGATTTATTGCAGGGTTTGAATATAGCAAAGTATCTGCTGAACTTTTAAATAAATACCTTGTATTCATTAAGTTAGCACAAGTCTGTTGTTAACTCTTTCCAAAGGAAATAGTTAACCCTGGTTTACACAGCTACCATTTGGCTGCTGTAAAAGTTACCTGTGATGTTTGTGATCTCTGAGAAAGCAAGAGGTGAGCACAGCATCGAAGCAGCTGGTTGCAGATCTTGGTTAATTGGATTTTGCAAGAGCTGAGAAGACAAACCCCTCCCTGTACGTGCCTGAAGAATGCAAACAACCCCAACCAGCTTGTAAATCATAGGCTGATGCTGCTGGGGTCAGGGTTTGGAGTGCTTTCTTTGTTGGGAGTCATGGTTTCAATCTCTTTCCAAGCCCCCTGGGAGCCCAGTTTCACACAGTTTCCTTCTGGGAGAAGTGTGTGGGTGTCTGAGGGCTGCAGGGTGCTGGAATTTGCATCCTTCAGAGAACCATTGATGTTAAGAAGGTGTTGAGAATCAAGGGCCATTCAGTTTTGCCATCACAGTAAAGGTTCAGGGAGTGTGTAGAAGCACAGCTCCAGGTGACATGGGCAAGAAGGCTTTTGAAACCTATCATACCTTGCCATGGTATGGTTTTTACCCTTTCTTACTTTAAAGTATTTTTTAAAATTGATATCTATCTGGTATTTTACCAAGTACAAGAAATTTAACCTTCCCAGGTGGGTTGTGTTGGCTGTGCTTGATTGTGCCTGGCTAAATTCCTGCTTGATCCTGATGTGGGGCTGGCTGTATCAAAGCAGAACAGTAAATAATGTCTATCTTTAGGTTAAAACTGTAGACGCCTGTGACTGAGGACTGGCTGGAGTTGTGACAGCAGGCAAAATAACAGGAAACCCCATAAGCTCCTGAGTAACACACTGCAGGAAATTAGGAAAAAAAAATTAGTGACCAGAGCTCTTCCAAGTCAGTCCTGTGTGAAGGAGTGTTAGGAATTGCTCTTCTGTAGTGATAAACCACAGAATTGCTGTCAATTTCTGACTATTGGAAATCTGGCTCTTGGAGGGGAGGTGATATTTAGAGAGCCAAGAGTGACCATGGCACAAGGTTCAGCAGATAACTGTCACCCTTTATAATGGGGTAGCCGTGAAGCAAAGTTATTATTTGCCCATTGAGCTTTTTAGCTGCACAAGGTATTGTCAGAAGTGTGCTCTTGCATTTATGAAGGATAATGCATTGACTTGACCAGATTTTGATCATTAATGTTTTGAGGTCTTTAAGAAATTGTTCAGAGAAGTTGTGGATGCCCCATCCCTAGAAGTGTTCAAGAACAGGTTGGAGGAGGCTTAAAGTAACCTGGAACAGTGGAAGGTGTCCCTGCCCATGGCAGGGGGTTGGAGCTAGATGGTCTTTAAGGTCTTTTCCAACCCAAACCATTCCATAATTCTATGAAACACAGGGGAGCAGAAGGTGCTGCCTGCACCTGGAGGAAAGGCACCAACCCCACGGGTGTGACTCATCCCTGTGGACTTCTGACAGAGGTGGCAATCTGGAGATTCGTGGGCGGGTTTTTAACGTGTTTTGTCATTTTGCAGTGCAATACCTTCATCTGCAGGTTCCTCAGCCTTAATCCAGTCAGGCGAGAAAAGAAGCAGCTGCTGGCCAACATTATTTCTTCATGGGAAAACTCCAAATGAATCGAAGCACCCAGGCAGGGCTGGGTAAGACTGAGAGTGAGACTGGGGCAGGATGGCAGCAGATGAGTGGTTAGACTGTCACGTCTGAGACCTTGGGGATCCCTGGCTGGGTTCACTTTGCTCACAGTATTCCCCAGACTTCTGAAAACGGTGAGTACTTCCACAGAACATCATTATTCCAGAGATGTTGTGAGTTATCAGTGGTCTGTGAAATTGGTTCATTCATAATCTAAAATGCATTTAATTGCTAAGGCTGCCTTTAGTTTGCACTTCTTTCCTGAGTTTTTTGTGAAAATAATTAGATATTTTAATTAACCTCTTTTTTTTTGTAGTTTTGTAATTGGTCTCTAATCAGTGTTGGAGTTTTCTTACGGCTGTATATTAAGATTATTCTCCTCTTAGACCTACTTCACTTAAAGCTACACTTTCCAACTATGATTCCTTTAAAAATACAACTAACACTGTTCTGAAGAATTAAGAGCTTTACTTTTTTTTCTTGGATGACCATGTGAACACAAAAACCTCCTGCTGCAGCCTTAACTTGCTTGGTAGCAATGGCAGGTTACCATGTTATGGTGCTTTATTGAGTTGTAAGCAAGCCATGTGGCCATTCAAGCCCTATAACCAATAGGTTGGATTCTGTAATAATGGGTTTAATACTTCTAATAAATGTTAAAGTTGTGAGTTTGTAGTATTTGGGAAAATATATTTCTCTTGCAAATTATTGCAAGGTTGGTATAAATCTTAATTTTATAAAAAGTGTGCTCATAAACTTTTTATGCAGGAAACCTTTCCTTGTAAACTTAACTGTAGTTTGTTTTCTGGAGTAGAGGGAAGAGAGGTGACTCCAGGTGATGAAGGGCCCTTTGGCCAGAGACTTTGGGTCCAGCATTGGGGTGGTGTAACTCCACAGTTGTCATTGTTTGGACAGATCTTTCTGTTTGCTGTGCCCACATGGGGCCAGACTGCTGTGCAGTGCATCCTGCCAGTAGTTAAAATCGAGAATATGCTTGGGCTAGAGTAGTATTTACAAAATACTTCAATTTCACACCAGCAGGAAGAGTAAGGGATTTGAATGTAAGGCTGTGAGCATTAACCAACATAAGGATTACTTTTTAAATTCATGGTCAGTTTTGGTTTTTTTCTGTTTTAAAGAACTCTTTGCTCTCTTGTAACCACTGCCCATCCATTCTCTCCTTGCTCTTTCCCTCTGTTGAGGGCTTTGAAATGAACTGGAGAAAGAGGATCATCAGTGATCCTGGTTACAATCTCCTGAGCTGGGTGTGGAAGTGTCCTCTTATTAGAAAGTCTTTTTCACATGAGAGGGTATTGACACCTCAGCTGCTCATGTACCTGTGTCCTGGTATATGGATGGAGCAGAAACCTCTGGAACTGAGGAGTATCATGCTTACAGCTCCTTACAAAGGCAGGGATTATTGGCAGTAGAGAGTTTATGGTAGGAGATGAATCATCCTCTCAGTTCATGCTTTCATGCGGCCCAGTGTCACTACACCCATGTGTTTTCCTAAAGTAACAGTGACTTGCTGCTGTCTCGCTTGTTTTGCCCTGAGTTTCCCCAGCTGCACAGGGGTTGCAGTGCTGGGACTGGGTGGTTTCCAGGATGAGTCAAACAATGCAGCCAGGCGAGCTCAGTGTTTCACTGCTGGCAGGGGCCGCTGTCTCGGTGAGCCCGAGGTACTTGGAGATGTCCCAGATTTCTGCCTCATCAGAGGTAACAGCCCTAGGTGGAGTCGCACCCATGATTTAATACAAAATGAATGTGAATTAATGGTGAGACACGATGAGCTCAAGGATTCCAAGCTGTGAAATGGTATTAGGGCTACGGGCTCACAATAAACATTTAATGACTGCAGAAATCAGAAAAGAATTTGGTGCAGCCTTTCACCCCAAACCTGTAGGTGTTTCCCAGCCACCTCCCGTTCTTTGGCAATATTGATCCAAATATTCTGCTTCACTTCTCCTGATCAATTTGATTTCTCAGAAGAGCTAGTGGCTGCTAGCTTTTAACCCAGAAAATATTTTTCATATTAACAGCTGAATTCAGAGGCTGGCATGAGGTTCTCCTTAAGAGCTACCTTGGAAATTCAGTGCATTAGTTGAACTCTTATTTTTATGGTAATTTCATGATTAAATAATAAACCTACAGATCTAAAAACATAGCACAGTGGACAAACACCACAGGTGAAAGGAGCAGCCAGCTGTGTGCCTGGCCCTTTGATGCTGTCAGATGAGACAGCCTGGAGACTCTGGATGGGAAAACATCTCTGCTCTCCCAGTGCAGGACCCTTTCTGCTTCTGATCAGCATCATCTGTGCTGATCAGTGTGTGTCAGGGGGGAAACTGAGGGGCTCCTCTCAAGGCATGGTAATTTGATGAGGTTTTTCATGTTGCCTTCTCTTAAGATCCTGCTGTACTCCTATTTTGCCAGTGTGCATTTGCTTCTTGCTTTAGTGGTTTAGCTCACTGACTTTTATGCATTTTATTTTTGATTTTTAAAAAAATTAATCTACTTGTGGTGATAGAAGATCAGTGTCTCAATTCTTTTGAACCCAGAGCAGCTGTTTCTGTTGCCTTGGACATGTCTAGCATCTAATAATTGGATTTGATGTATCACATGTTTTTGAT